TGCATATAAACAAACAAGATAGATATACTCACAATATAGAGCAAAGGCTCCCCCTATCAATAAGCATAGGTGAGTATAACATATAGAAAGATATAGGGATTGCTCCCCCTATCAAAATGCCATATGGAAATATGAAATGAAGATCATGGCAAACATATGTGAGCAAGCATAGATGAATATGCTAAATATCACTCACATATTTACAAGAGAATGAGAACACATATAAATATGTCAATATAAAAATAGTGTCTCATTACCACAAAAAATATAAAAAACCATATAAAAGAATAGATTTATGAAATCAAAAGAAGAGGAACATGAGAATCATGCAAAAAGTTTTCAAATGAAAACAATTCAACCAAAAGAAATCATAAATCAAGGTTTATATTCAAAAACAATGTTTGATCAATAAAGAAAAATTTTCTTTACATAACTTGATCAAACCACTCCATAGAATACATTATAAGGCACGAATAGATGATCCATAAGCACAAACACATAAATATCATCATATAAGTGAAGTATAATGAATTCAAAGAAATCGATCAAAACAAAATCTCTAACAAAAGAATTTTAAAAGAGGCAACAATATATCAAGCTCTTAAGCTTGTTTCAACCCATATAATCATTCTAAATGAACCCGGAGGGTTATATAAGTACAAACCTCTCATCAAAACAAAACAAATAATCATGAAAACAAAAATTTGATCAAAGAAAATTTGTTTTCATAACAAAAAAATTTTAAGATATAATTTTCAAAAACCAAGAAAAGGAAAAATAAGAATACTAAAATTCTTGGTTTAAAATTTAAATTTGTTTTGGTACCCAAGAACTCTTGGTACCAAAAGATTTAGGGACATGACCCCTATCATTAAAGCTCAAAGCCTTAGGGTTATGAACCCTCTTAGACACATATGGTGCACTAACACGGTCAAAACAATATTCATTCAAATGACCCTTCCGATTGTAATATGTACAATGGAAAGGAAGCATTTGCTTATGTTGACCAAGTAAGCGTGCACGAAAATCATTTGCAACTAAAGATTGTCTTTTAAATTTATTTTGCAAATGAGAAACCTTATTAAACAAATGTGGTTTACTTGAACAATTTGGCAAGTTTGAATATTTTTTCAAATCATAACAAAACTTAGCCAAATGGCCAAATCTACCACAAATATCACATTCAAACACTTGTGGTCTACTAGAAACATTTGGCAAACGTGATTTTCTTTTCAAAACCACATAGATCACATTTATACACATTAACATGCTTATGATGAGAAATAGATGCATGTGCATGTGTGTGTACATGTGATGAAGAACCTTGATGAGATGCACAAGAAGGATTAATATTCTTATGTTTTTGTGCATCATAGTAAAATTTTGTTAAATGGCCTTTACGACCACAAATGGAGCACTTGTAAACTTTGCTATACAAGTGTGCATAGTGTGTGGGTGATTTACTAGACTTAGCACACTTGTCCATAAGTTTCTTATGGTTATCAATGCGTTATTTTGTATGTTCTTTACTTCTAACATGACATTATCTCTTTCATGAGTTAAACTAGCAACGTTTGAGGTTAAAGAGATATGATCCAATTTTAATTTTTCATTATTTTCTTTAAGGATCACATTTTCATTAGAAATAGTTTCAAACTTAGATGCTAACAACTCATGATCGGATTTTAAAATTTCATGCTTGCTTTGTAAATTAATGAAATCATTTTGCAATTTGTCAAAGGCATGCAATAATTTTTCACTAGCACACGCAAGTTCATCACTAGATAAATCATTAGTTGTTTCGAACTCGCAAACCTCACTAGGGCTATCGCCTAGTGGCCGTGTGCATGATGCTCCACATGAACTTGAAGCGGGATCCTCCAAAGCTTGTCGGATCGCCTCCAAGTCTCCTTGATGTGCTTCTATAAATATCCATAAGGTGTAAGCACTATCAAAATGAACAAACTTGTTAGACATAGATGAGTTAAAAGCATTTAACAAATATTCTAACAAAATGTTGTTCATAGTAAACATGCGATGATCATTTTTATTCCACTTGGATTTCTCCAAAATGGGCACAATATAAGCATCATCTATAATTTTTCATAAATCAAAATGTTTAGATCTAACAAATAGTTTAAATCTAACACACCATTGGGCATAGAAAAAATTGTCTAATCTAGGAGCAACACTAGAATCATAGCCTAAACAAGATGCATCATTCATATTCATTATTTGTAAAAATATGCAAGCAAGATGCAAATGTAATCAAAACAAGATTAGCACAAATAAGATAACTTGGATCTTTAACTCAAGGCGATTAGACCTTAAATCAAAGAGCACCAAGCTCTGATACCAATTGTTAGACCCTAGAGGGGGGTGATTAGGGTCTTATGCTAATCTAATCCGATTAAATGCCAATTAAAATTAATTAACAAGTTATATTCTTGCAAGATAGATATACAAAAAGATATATGAACTAGGATAAGCAATGTAAACAATGAGATATATCCTATATGATGAAATATATATATGCAAGGATATATAAACTAACACAAGGGTAAACAAAATAAACTAGATAGTGGATCATATAAATAATGAGCTAATGACAATGGCGACAAGAATTATAAACACAAACGCCAAAGCACACTCAAACAAGCAATATGATCACGGAGTTCGGACCTTCCGTCCTACGTCTCCGCTCCCCACTCCCGGGGAGAAATCCACTATCAACCGGGTTTTCTACGTTCACCCGAATAACGTTTACACCTCACAGTATCGGTTTTCAACGCTCACCGATCAACGTCACTCCTCACACTCGGTTTCTAGCTCACCGAAAACCTCACTACACACTCGGTTTCTAGCTCACCGAAAACCTTACAACACTCACAATGTAACAAATATAAATTTGTTCTCTACAATAGATGAGAACACAATGAAAGCACAACTCAAGGTTACAATCTCTCACCACCCAACTATACTATGTATGTAAATACTAAAAGCTCAAGTGGGTGTGTGTAACAATGAGATAAAATCAAATCAACTAAACTCAAATATAAAATCTAGCTTAAGAACAATGATAATCAAACAAGTATATAAATGTAAAGCTAGAGTTTGAGTTTAGAAAACTTCTCAATTTGATAACAAGAGATGGAGGGATGATAGTTGGAAGCTCAAACTTCAATAGATAATCTCCTCAAGCTCTTGTGGAATTGATTCACAAAACCGAAACACTCAAATGCTTAAAAGCTTATAAACACACTTTAAACAAACTTAAACCCTTGATTAAAACTTTCTTAAACTTGTTTTAAAACTCTCTTAGTTAGTTTGAAAAGACATCAGCAATGGGGTATATATACCCACTAGAAATCTCAGCAAAAACCCGACCGATTTGAGCTCTCGGTCGACCGGACCGGTCGACCGACGATTCTCTGGAAAAATACTGACGAATGGTCAATTGACCGGTCGACCGTACCGGTCGACCGAAAACTGACATTTCCAGAAAAATCGGTTTTAGAGAAAACACTGTTTAAAAATATCAAATAAATTCAGAAAAATGTAAAACTTTGGGGAATGATTGTAGACATGATAATAAACATGCTACAACGACTGGTTTCGAAAAAGGACTTCCCAAATAAAAAATATCATCATTTTACAAACTAGTCCAAAGTCCAAAACATGAAAATGTAAACATATGAATTTTGACATTTAGGCTAAACCATGTTTTGAAACTTTGCACAATGATTTTGTAGACTTAATAAAATATGTATATGATTGTTATTAAGTCCATAAACTCAGAAAACAATGTTTTCACAAATAGAAACCTATGAGTATGTATATGAAAATATATTTGTTTCATATCTAAGTAGATAAACCAAATCACAATATGAAACATGTAATTTCATATTTATAAACATGAAAACTAAAACTTGTGTTGTATATATATGTGACTACATATATATACAAGGAAAATAATAAAATGTGTGTGTATAGATAATTGAGCTTAGAGTACTTAACACACATAATATAAATCCTAAACTACATTACCCAAGCAATCTTGATCTTCAATTAAGCTTGACTTGGTACACGTGCGAATGAAGCTTGAACTTGATCTTTAGCTTGAATTGTTGTATAGGCTTCAATCCGACATTCCGCCAACCTCCTTTGGATATCATCGTTGAAGCTCTATTCCATCCATCCTCCAACAATGTTGTTTGTCTACAATACATAGGAATGCACAAACACTAGACAAACAACATTAGTAGTAAATTGTTTGTTAAACATCATCAAAACAAGAAGGCCAACAAAGATAACTTGACTCATACATAGGTAAGAGTTTTAGTGATCATAAAATAGAAAAAACTGGTAATTTATTATAAACAGTTGAAGTTTCCTCTGACATTGATCCATGTGATGATGTTACCCAAATAACCATCATAGTTTATGTTTTTAGCAGTTAAGTTATAAAACTATTGAATGTTATTTTCACATGAACGTTGCATCAGAAGTTTATATTTAAACAAGCTTAGAAAAAGACATATTTAGAAAGAATAGTTCCCAGTTTTAAAGAGCTACATGGTTTAAGTTAAACTTCTTGAGGTTGCACTGATTGAAAAAGACTACTTAAAACTTACAAGCGCTGGCTGTACCTCCATCTTCCTTGTTAGTTAATTATAATTAGTAATTTTTTCTTCGCCAAAGATATCATGTACATTCTGTATCTACTTTGGGAAAAATATGCTTCAGATTAGCTTTGTCTTTCTTTGATTCAGTTGTAATACTTTTGTGGCAAGGGTCCAACGAACCTGCTAGAGAAGCAAGTATATCAGCAATAATTAATGTCTTTTTTGTATATGAACCTGCAACGAAGAGCTAGGAATTGTGCTACTTTATTCTTTTGCGCAAAGAACATTGGATATCTGCTGTTGACCTGCTATTTAATTCATTGCTATAGCCTGACAATCTCTTTGCTCATTTACTTCTAATCTATATATGTACAGGGCCATGAGGAGAGATTTTCTATTTATGTACATGCATCAAAAGAAAAACCAGTACATGAGAGCTCTTTATTCATTGGACGAGATATCCGCAGTGACAAGGTTCTTGATTCTTGAACCTTTCTCATTTCTTGATGTTTTACTCAGTCAATATTAGCTCAAGATGGTTCTTTGGTTTTCTATCGAATCTACATTTTCTATTAGGAAATACGAAAAATGAAGATCATGCATGCTTCCTGTTGTTTCTATTTTTTTTTCAAATATCTATCTATATTATACTGCCTTTTTTAAAAATCTAGTTTAACTATAAAGAATGCAGTAAGAAAGTTATGTTGATAGTCTCAAGACTCTCAAGTTTGAAAAGCAGACCTATGAATCTTCAACATAGACGAAAACCATGCCTGATTGCTTGATTGTCCCAATTCAATTTGAGATTTTATGGCTTGTGTCGAATATTTATTTAAAGTAAATTTTAGTTTCAGAAAGCTGTTATATCCATATTTCCAGTAAGCAAGAGATATTATAAAAATGCTTCCATTTGGCTTTATTTAGTTCTGATAATTTTAGATATTGACTAGTTAACTTCCATAAATTTACGCTGGAGGGCATTCTACTTGTCATGTGACTATCTTGAGCATGATGGCGACTTTTTGTTCAGTGTGCAATCTACTTGATGTTGTCACAAATAACAAGATTACAATTGTCACTTCAATAGTTTATTCAGTCTTGTAGATAATGACTTGTTAACCTCCACAAATTTACAGAAGAGGGCACTCTAGGGTAATATGAATATCTATGCAGTATGGTAACTTTATGTTCACTGTGGCATCTAGTGGATGTCGCCTCGATATGGATTACAATTATCATGTCAAAGTTTATTCAGTTGAGAAATGATTTGCATGAGCTGGTGGATCTAAGGTACTTGCTTACTTGATATTTATTCCTAAAGTAGAACTTGCACATTTATTATGCATTTAACATGCAGGTGTCCTGGGGAAAAATTTCCATGGTTGATGCTGAGAGAAGACTTTTGGCAAATGCTCTAGAAGATGCTGATAATCAGCATTTTGTTTTACTTTCTGACAGGTGATTGTGTTGAACTGCTTATTTGCATGGGTATTAGTGTTGTTTGTCAGCAATCCTAATATTTGTCTCTCTTGTATTACAGTTGTGTACCGCTGCATAACTTTGACTATGTATATAGTTATTTGATGGAGACAAATATCAGCTTTATTGACTGGTAAGCCGGCTTAGTTTTCTATGCGGAAACAATCAACTTCACCATGGAGGAATTGTTTGATTCTTAGTACAAACTATCTACTTCCAGTTCCATAGTAACATGAGCTTCAGTTATTTGCATCAGTTGCAAACATTTTCTTTTTCTTGCTGAAGTGCATACCCTTACTTTCAGTTTTGAGGATCCCGGACCACATGGTAGTGGCAGATATACTGAACATATGTTGCCTGAGATTGAACGAAAAGACTGGAGGAAAGGCGCACAGGTATGCCAATTTTCTATTCCTTTTAACAATCTAATAAAATGTGACCATGCAAAAAACAATCAGATGTAACAAAGTTTTGATGTGATAATAGGACAGAGAAAACAACACCTTGCAACTCTCGCAGTTTATGGTATTGTCCTGATGATTTTTGTGAATGATTATTCTGATATATTGCCTATTATCTTGGCATGACTGTATGGTTGACGGGAAAAGTTTCCCTCTGTTTCTTATTCTGAAGTTGCCTTCCATTTGCTAATCACCTTTTTGCACTTAAATTAGGGAATTTGAACAACAAACTAGAAATAATCAACCTAATAAAACTTTTTACTTGCAGTAATTGTATTAATGCTACTAGATCTTTCTTATGGCATTTGAATTACATGATTCCATTGCTTTGAAAATCCTGTGGAAGCACTTCTGGAAATATCAACTAGTTATTACTTAATCTACTGCCAATCTTATGCTGTCCCAAGGGGATATAGTCATCAGAAGGAAGCTGTTCTTTTGACTAAGATATGTTGCCCTCACATATATCAGTCATTTTAAAGTTCTATTTCATTCTCAACCAATTGTAGGGGAAAGAATACTACAACTAACTTGAAACTTATTAAAATTTTTGGGAACAAAACAGGTGCTGGATACTGAACAGTATTTAAAACAAATTTAGAAACCTATTGAATATCTTCAATTTTGAACTTAGACGTACAACTAAGAGGCTAAGATTCTAGAAATTACAATAATAAACAACCAGGTAACCCATGTTATGAAAAATGCAAAATTTTTTCACCATTAAACCATCAATCTGTGATAAGGTAACAAAGTTGAGAGTTATCGCCTATCAGTATTTAGCATCTTAGCGGGTAGCTTAGGAAAAAAATAATTTGAAAATCTCGTCTCTTATAGATGTGTGTTTGGAAGAGTTACGAGTAAGCAATCAAGAGCTTTGTAAGCATAATAAACAAGAAGCAGTTCTCAGATATTTATCTGTTTGGCTATAAACCTGATATTGAAAATTCAATTTGGTGCCTTGTGCATATCATACATGCAATAGAATGTCATCAAACTTGTTCTTGTGCATATCATACATGCAATAGAATGCCATCAAACTTGTTCGTTGATCCAAATAATTAATCTAATAAGATACAGTCTGAGGCACTTTCCAAATCCTACATCCGATGTCAATTAGACATTTAGGTGTTCATAGCACTGAAATTCCCATCCTTGTTCAT